GAGAGGAGAGAGGAGAGAGAGAGAGAGGAGAGAGAGATGAGAGAGAGAGAGAGACGAGAGAGGAGAAGAGAGAGGAGAGAGGAGAGAGAGAGAGAGAGAGAGGGAGAGAGAGGAGAGAGAAGAGAAAGAGGGAGAGAGGGGATGAGATCAATGCAATGCTCGCAGGTCGAAATTATGAAACAATCGCCATTTGGCGTCCAGGTTTCGAATTTTGGGGGTTAAATTACTATAAATCATGATATATATGTAATCAAGATAGCAATTTATAGCCATAGGTTCACATACTTTCTCTGACTGCATTGGGTGCGATCGGTTAGGTTATACACTGTAACAGCAAAATACAGGGCAAATGAATCATACCTTCTCACAGAGGTTGCCTAGGTATCCGAGGTAGAGTCTGATGATTTCCACTGCTGTGATGGTGATGAAGATGGTGATGAGGATGATTTGATAAAGCATGTCCAGGTAGTGAAACTGCAAGATACAATGTGGTTAACGCCGGTGACAGTGTTGACTCAAATGTGCCCTCAATGTATTCATTAATTGCATCACTTGCGCTTGCATAAAATCTCTTGGAAGAGAGGTTAAAATAAACAAATAGGATTCATTTTTGGTCTTTCATGATAAATTCTCAATTTATGATTGTCCCATCAATACCCAGTGCAGGGGGTCTTCTCTCAATTGATCCTGCTTTGTTACGAGTTGAAATGTGCCCACTGCTTTGTTCGAGTGTTTGATGAGGTAAAATGTTAGTGTGATAAAGAGATATATTTCTCAGATACATACCTTGAGATAAAAGGTGATTAAGTTTGTTACAAGCCATATTGGGAAGAAGTAGACATTGAAGTACAGACTCATTTGCCATGGCAAGCTTGATACCAGCTCATTGCCTATTCAAAAGTAAGGAAATAAAGAACAGATTATTGGCACTAGAACTTGAATATCCCACTACTAGTAGTAGTACTACTGTAGCATGATAAAAGCATAAAATTACGCAAAACCGTGTATCTCTATGAAACATACTGCCACTGGCACTGGTGTGTAAATAGGGAAATCATTTGGAAATACGCAACATAAGGTGCGTAAATGGTATTTGCAACCGAAAACGTAATATTGATAACGAATCACGCACACAAACACACACACACACACGCCTGCATCCGGTGCCGGTGCTCTCATTTCTACAAGCACGGCCATTACGATATAAGCTAGCAACTTGTAGGCGCGATTGTTCATGCGATTCGCGACAATAAACCGACGAAGAGCGGGAGACGGCGAGGTGTGTCGGCCACCTAGAACTGTTTCACTCTCACGCGCAAGCTCTCACAAACCATGCCAGATTACATACATAGCACAGCGAGACATGGTGTTTAGTATGTCTGGGGGTATGTCTGGTTCGTCGTAAGTATGGTGATCGTTGGATTATTATCGTTCCTCTCGTTTCCGTATTTCTAAGGTTAACGACTCGATTTATATGCAAGTAAATGGATGATATATTACGATAAAACATTATGAGAAATACAAATTGTATAACTTCACCATTTTGGATGATACGAAGCAAATATTTTACGTATTAAGATGAAACATTAAGAGAAATACGAATAATTGTATAACTTCAGAGTAGGCCTATAATTTTTATTTTACAAATATTTACAAAAATATTGTATTTCAATATAATATATTAACATTTGAGAAATATCAATGTTGTCAATCAATCAATCAATCACACAATATCATAGATCACATAGAGGACACCACTGTACAGTACTGACGTACCATTCAATTTGCTGTAGGTAAAGTAGCAAAAAATCTACAATTACATGTCAAGCAAAACTATCACTAATATTAAAATTGTTAAAAGTCAAATAGTCTTAACTATACATGGAACGGATAGATTCACCATTGGAAATAAATGGACGGAATCCTTAAATTATCGAAGTATAAACTGGCTGCACTGAGACCCAATAATACAACACGAGATTCTGAATGAGAATATCAGAGACTTACGCACAAAAATTCTAAAAAGAATTTAAACAGATGTAGAAACTTCGAATCCAGGTCCAAGCCCATCGCAATTCATCACAATTCCTTTTAAGTTATCAGGAACATGATAATAATATTTTATGACGTTAATAACATGTTATATTTACACACAATATGTTAACATATTTCATTATGTTAACAACATTGTTAATAACTTGTTATTTAGAAAAAAAACCACAACAGATCTGTCATAATCTTACAACTGCCACTGTTACTCTACACCCTCTCATAACGTATGTGATCATGTAACGCCATCTAGTGGCCGTTTCCGTCACGAACGGCTAGGACTCCGCGGCGCGTAGGAGCGTCGGCGAGTCCTCTGTCTCCGCCAGCGCCTCGTACTGTCTCATGTGGAACTTGACCACCTGGTGGCCGGCGATGGCCTTGACCGCTGAGTAGCCGGCGACGATCTGGACAAGGACGAAAGCCATCATGACTGCGTTGACTGCCTGTTCGAGCGGTAGGATCACGGTGCCGCGCGTGAAGAGCAGGAACGCCAGCAGGGGGCACTGCAAGACCAGCGTGAGAAGCCAGGAGCCAGCCAGCTCGGGAACCTGTAGGAGAGAGAGAGAGAGAGGCAATGAGAGAGAGAGAGAGAGAGAGAGAGAGGCAATGAGAGAGAG